GGAGGAGGAGGAGGAGGAGGAGGAGGAGGAGGAGGAGAAGTGACAGGACTGCAGGTCTTGTTTGCAGGGTTGTTCCAAGTGAAGGAGGAGAGCGCTGCGAGCTTGTTGAATCCCTGGCAACCTCACTTGACCCTACGACTGCTGGGCGGGTGGGCGGGAAAGGTGAAGGGACCCAAATATAAAGGAGTGGAGAAGGTACGAGCGTCGCTTCCGAACCTTTCATAGTCCACAATCTCTTGTCGTCTCTGCTTGTCTACTCCTCGCTTTCTCGTTCGCAGTTATGTTTCCATCAAGTGTTGTTTTCTCTGCTCGACGTTTTTCTCTTCCTTTGTTCCCTCATTTCATTTCTCACGCTCTCCAGCTCTCACACGACTGTTGCCTCAAGTCCCTGCTGCTGCTGCTGCTGCTGCTGCTGCTGCTGCTGCCGCCGCCGCCGCCTGTGTTGCCGACGCCTTGTCTTGCGCTCATTGTAGCTCAGCCTTGGAAGGGAAGGAAGCCTTGGCTCAAGGACAAGAAGTTAAGTCGGGTCTGCTTGCCTCAGTCTTTGACTCGTTTGACCTTGATGATCAAAAGATTGACGAGGCGAAGCAGAAGCATGATAAGCGATGCGCGTAGGCTTGGAGGGAGCGAGGGAGTGAGGGCTGTGCTTGACCTTGACCAGGGCATCAGCCAAGCGAGAGAGACTGCGAGCCATTAACAAGAGGTGAGGGTTTAGGGTGTGAGGAGCTTATTCGGTGTCGCCGCTGATTTGCTCCAGAAAAGGAAAAGGCCCCGAGGGCATGCGGGTTCACTTGCTCTCGTTGCGCTGCTTCTTCTCACCCCTCGCAGAAAAGTTCATCGCCCGGACGAGCAAAGAGCTTGTACGAGCGTGATGTTGAGAGGTGATGGTCGATGACTTGGATGTAGATGGGAGGATGAGACGTTAGACGCAAAAGACAAAGAACCCGGTAAGCCTCAACCGATGAAAGAGGTTAGATGATAGAAGAGAAGTAAGATGATAGAAGGGAAGTAAGATGATAGAAGGGAAGTAAGATGATAGAAGGGAAGTAAGATGATGCAAAACGCATGAGCATCTGCATCAGGTCGTGTCTTCTCGAAGGAGTTGAGGATGAAGAGGCGAGAGGTGAGAAAAGTTTGATTATCTTCAAGTTCAACTGTTTCTACTAGGCGGAAGAACAATATCTCAGAACCAGAAACAAGGAGAACAGGACATGATGGATGTGCATGCTTCTACTGGAATGAAAGACGGAAGAAAGCCGTTCATCCCCCCCCCCCCCCTTCTCTTTGATTTCTTCAATTTCAAATTCTTCTTCATTCACATTTTATCAATTGCTTCCTTGCTGTCTCCAACAGTTCCACGTGTCCAACTCTGTAAGCCTTGCACATGCCACGTCTCCGCCGCTTCGCCTTTTCCTCCTCCTCCTCCTCCTCCTCCTCCTCCTCCTCCTCCTGCTCAACATCACAGCCCTCCTCTTCTTCCAGCATCGCTTTCTTCGCTTCCAGGGACGATCGAAGGATCTAGGACAAGCCTTGTAATTAGTCTCTGCGACACCTCTATTCTCCACCTCTTCTTCCCTTCCTCCCCTCCTCCTCTCACCTCGCGGGCTACCAGGTGCTGATCGACTTGTGCAACTTCCCGCAAGCTCAGCAGAGCCTCTTCGCTTCCCCTCCTTCTCATCTCCTCGAATTCTTCTTCCTCCAGCGAGCAAAGCTCCGCAAAAAGAACCGCTCCCTACCCATCGCTTCAGTGGCCCCGTCTTCCTCGCCCCCTCCCCCCGGATTTCTTCAAACGCCTCGTTCGCCATCCTTTCTCTCCATCCCTCCCCCTGCCCGGCTCTTCCTTTTGCTTTCTAGCCTTCACTTCCTCTCCTCGTATCTCACAAGTACCTGCGGAGCTCTACAACGATGTCGAGCCTCGAGCACGAAGCCTGTTAGAGCGGCTCGGAGGATGGCAAGGCATGGCCAGGAGGAGGAGGAGGAGGAGGATAGCTGTTGGTACACGCGAGAGACCCACTGCAACCGTGCTTGACACCTTTCCTCCCCGACCAGCTGTTGAGCATGTGGAAGCAGGGGAGGAAGCAAAACCTGGAGGAGTACAAGTGAGAGAAGAGGAGGCAGCAAGACGAGAGGGGGGAGGATGAGAATAGCACAAGAGACGAGTGAAAGTGAATGGAAGAGGAACAGTAGGAGCACGAAGACAAGTGGAGCGATGAAGACAGGAGGCCATGAAGGAGCAGGACATGCATGAAGGAAGGGGAGAAAGAAGGAAGGAGCAGGACATGCATGAAGGAAGGGGAGAAAGAAGGAAGGAGCAGGACATGCATGAAGGAAGGGGAGAAAGAAGGAAGGAGCAGAAAGGGATCGGGAGGATGGTTGGAGGGAGCAAGGGATGGGGGTGGGTGAGGGGCGGGACGACGAGGCATGAAAGAGAAAACCTCATCGTAGAGGTTGGGCGAGAGGATGAAGCCGTAGGCGAGGAGGAGGAAGGAGTTGCTGTGCTCCCCGTAAGTGTTGAAGATCTCCCGATGAGGCTGCAGGTCAACCAGCGACGCAACACAGAGAAAATTGACTTGCTCCTCGCTCGAGCTGGTCAGTGCGATCTCCTGGGGGTCTCGCGTCAGCAGAAGAACAAGACAACATTGATACATCCAGACATAGCAGCAGCAGCAGCAGCAGCAGCAGCAGCAGCAGCAGCAGCAGCAGCAGATGATGATGATGATGATGATGATGATGATCATAGTGATGCACGACGACGGAGACGAAGAAGGCGATGATTGTGAAAGCAAGCTGGACAGAAAATGACAATGGAGATTCAGCAATGCAGACGGTTGACATCTTGAACGCGATGTGGGAAAGGATGAGTAAAGTCGAGTGACCAAGTACTCGGAAAAAGAAGGGCATGGCATCGCAAGCAAAAGATTACCATCTCAGCTGAATGCGTGTCCTCGACCTCTTCCTCTTCCCTCCTACTTTCTTCCCCATGAGGATGAGATCTATCGTGGAGTTGAATCATGCTCTCCATCTCTTGCATCTCCTCTTCCTTCTCTGACTGCTTCCACACTTCATGCTCACGTGGCAAGTGTGCCACCTTGTGGTTGAACAGATCGGCAAAAGGAACAAGAGCCTGCTCCATCCATGTCAAGTCTCCTCCCCTCCTCCTCCCTCCGCCTCTTCCTTGCCACATGCGGAATCCTCGCGTCCCTCTCCTTCGCCCCTCACCTCGCCGTGTCTTTCGTCCACGAAGAAGCCGCGCGAGCTCGCGTAACTTAACGCCACCAGGAAGCAGCGAAAGTGAAGGAGCGACGAGTCGACGGTCAGCATGCGATGCAGCAGCGGTCGCACCCGGTGCTGCCTACCAGCTCATCACAGCAAGAACCAAGACAGAGGATCAGGAGGGAGCGAGGGAAGGAGGGTGGGTAGAGGCGGCATGGAGGGGGAAGAGCAATGGCACGGGAGGGAGAACGTGGGCAGGAGAGGAGAGGAGAGGAGAGGAGAGGAGAGGAGAGGAGAGGAGAGGAGAGGAGAGGAGAGGAGAGGATGAGGGCAGAGGAGGGATGGGTAGTGGTAGGTGGGGGGAGAGAGGAGACTGAGCACGAGAGGGAGGAGGGCACCAGTCTAGCTCGTACTGCTGTTTCGCCTGTAGGACTTGAGGAAGGGCGTCGGTTCCTCTGAGGCTCCTGCGTGATGTTAGCTCACGATGAAGCAGCAGCAGCTCTACAGCAGATCCTCTGCTTCCCAGAGCAGGGGAAGATCGACGCCTGCTGGAGGGAGGGACGAAAGATAACCAGACCACCTGCAGAGGAGAGATGAGGAGGGGAGAGGACAGAGAGCAAGCCTGCGAGGGGGTGATGGGGTGATATGAGGATGCTTCTACCTCGATTCGCTTCCTTTCAGCATCTCATGCATGATGGCGGCAGCAAGGGCGATGTCCTCCGCCCTGTCTATGCCAAACTCGTCGAGGCGATCGGAGACCTCCGGCACATTGAGCACAGACAGACATGCTCGCTTGGGAATGCGAGCTATGCCATGGTTCTTTTTCACTCCCCTCCTACCTCCTCGTCATCATCCCGTACACTTCTTCCTTTCCTACCTTGCCACTATCCGGAAGCCTGATGCCTCTGCTAGCGAGTCAGCGCCTCCTCCTCGCCCGCAGCTCAAGGCACCTTGATACTCGATGAGAACCGATCGCTCATCGAACTTGACACCGACTTGCTCAAACCAGGCCCTCAACTTCCTCACCTTCTCCTCCTCCTCGCTCTCTTCCCCTTTTCGTCAGTCTGCAGTGAGGCAAGGAGCATGCACAAGTGAGACACCAGGAGGAGAAGGAGCTCATTCTCCCAGCAGGTGCAGTGGGGGCGGGAGGGTGATGGTGAGAGTGAGGGCGATAGTGAAAACAGGGGGAAAGTGAGAGAATAAACCAGCAAGAGATGAGGAACAACGATGGGACGGCACGCGAAAAGGAGGAGGTACCATGACATACGTCCATGCTGCTTCTTGTCACCGTGACTGCATATAGGGCCAACGAGAGAGCAGCATGCCTGCGAGAGAGGGGGAGGGGGAGGAGGGGGAGGGAGGAGAGGGAGTAGGAGGGGGAGGGGGAGGAGGGGGAGGGGGGTGAGGGAGTAGGAGGGGGAGGGGGAGGAGGGGGAGGAGAGGTGCTGATCTCTAGCTGCGCATCCAGGTGCGGATCTCCAGGGATCCGTCCATGATGTGAGTGCTGGATGAGGGCCTCAGGTGCTGCCTCAGGTCTGCCTCAGGTGCCTGTCAGGTGCAGCAGAATATGGGTAGATGAGGGGATGCGGGCTTGGGTGCGAAAGGACGCCATGGCTGCTCCTACTCGAGGCCTCGCGAGTGTGGTGGGGGCGGCAGGGATGGTGATTGCGGTAGCGATGCTGGTGGTTCATAAGAGTTTAGTCGATGAGCAGGGTGAGGGGAAGCGGCTGCCGATCCTTGTGCAAGCCAGCACGAGCCCTCACCATCGCCAAGCATTCCAGTTGAGCCAGTTGAGCTTGGGCGACCGGAAGGTGCCGGCACGAGGAGCTCATGGGAGTAGAGTAGAGGTCACGAAGCATGTGCTCGGAGACTCTGCAGCTCTCAACGACCTCCTTGCTTTTTACGATCAGCTCCCAACGAGCAGCCCCCTTCCCCGAGATGCTCGTCACAAGGAGTTACCCCCGACAGCTCGCAAGTTGGGGTCAAGAGCTGCTTACAAGGATCTTGGCGAGTACTTTGACTCTGTACCAACACACAATGTCAACGCCTTGCACTCGAGGTCGGGGACGAGGCACGTCAAGCCTCCGTTCGCATCCTACAGGTGACGTGCAAGTCTTGATGATGTCGTGCGACTGAATCATCCATGCAGCGCCAAAAAAGCCTCTCAGGATCTTGGAGATTATTTTCAGAACATTCCCACGAGGGGTGGCAACGCGTTTCATCAACCCGCGGCTGAGATCAAGCAGGAGCTGAACTCTTCGCCAAGACAAACACACCTTGCCGTTATGCACCCAGCAACAACTATAGAGAAGGTAGATGATGTCGAAATCCCCCAAGCAAAGACGCATCTGACGTGACGTGACAGCAGGCATCTAGCAGTGCCTCAACGTCGAATCACCAAGTCAGTTTGACGCAACACTCGGCTACCTCTAAGCCGACCTTACATTCGGGATTTCCTGAAAAGACAAGATCGAGCTTGGAGGTTTCTGTGACTATTCCAAAGAAGTCTAGGAGTCACTCGTCGAGGAACAAGCTGAGAACAGACTGGACTGCTCTCAATGACCCGTCTGGGCCCGATCCTGATGCCCCGACAGGAACGGAGGAAGAGAGGCATGCGGACGGATACGACACCCAGTACGGCCTAACGCACAAGCTTGGACGCTCCAAGTTGGAAGAGACTCCAGCCGGTGACGTTCTCACGCACCTGGTGAGCCGTGAGGTGGGAGGGTCTATCGCCAAGGACGAGGACGAGCAGGAGGATCTGCCGAGACCGCAGGAGGGGGGTGCGCTCCACCTGGCTGTAAGAGGAAGCCCCGTCAATGCAGAGAAGCACGAGCAAGGGAACGTGGGGATGCCGCCATTGGCAAGACAGGAAGCGACTATGAAGCCGTGGTCTCCGATGCCATACTGGAAGATCATTGGTCAGAAAGGTCCTTTGACGTGGAAGGTGAGCAAGCGTTTCAAAGAGCAGTTGCAAGAGGCTGTGAAAGCGAATCCTAAGTCTCTCAAGGCCAAGTTGTTGTTGCACGAGGCCCACCAGCATGATCTATGGCGCAAGATGCACGACGAGGCAGTAGAGCATGAAAGGCCTCGGAGTTGACAAGGAAGGCTAGAGTGACTGGGCCGTGTCTAGGCCCGGGAGTTTTGTTGTATATTTACGTCAGTAGCGGCCGCCAGCGGCATCATTATGATTAGACAACTCAACTGATCGCAAGCAGTGCTCGCTTTACATCAGCTTTGATAGTTTTACCTTCATCCCACCGCGCGATCGCTGCAAGCTGTTCGAGTCCAGCTGTGACTCTCCGATGGCCGCATCAAGTCGAAATCGCCGGAGGCTCCGACGGCGGACTCCCGAACTGCCCGCCGCCGGGTGCTACCGGGCCGCCCAGTGGCACTCGGACGGCAAGTGAACACTCGGAGCGGTCGGACGCGGCCCGGCCAGTGAGCTCAGGGGCTGATAGGTACTGATCTTTAACTTAACTTTGAGTAAAGCGAGACAGTCACTTCCGAAATAGCTCTCAACCGCTGTCCTAGTAGATTTGTATCGGGGTGCTAGTATACCTAGACCCTCATAAGAAGCTTTGAGTCCACAAGTGAACTTCCTAAACTTAATTTCACGGGACGGTTCTGTACTCTACAAGTGTTTTAGAGGCCAATATATGTAAAATAAACCAACCAATATCACTTTTAGAAATTGTAAAGACCAGATCGGGCAACTTGTGTACTCTATATGTTTTTATGTTTTCCCTATTTTTTCAATTTTAAAAGTGAGAATCCCTTACAAAAATTCGAATAAGTATAGTAAATCTGCTACACATTATTTTACCGCGACTTGCAAACTCTTACTACTCAACTCTAAAAGATATTTATAAGGATTTAAAAACTTGTATTAAGTTGACAAGTGAGCGCCCAGACACGAAGCGAGGAGGGAGGGAGGGAGGGAGAGGGAGGCTCGTACGGAACTCTTCACATCGCAGATCTTCGGAAGCATCTGATTGGAGCCCCACGAGTCGGAGGCGACGGCATGTCGGCGGTTGAGAACCTTCAAGGGACTGATTTGAAATCGAGAGTTCACTCGTTCATGTTCTCAGATTCACTTCGATCTGTGACCTCGACGACCTCGACCGCCTCGAGGTCCAGGGCTCTGAGGCGTCGTTCGATCGGCATCGAAGTAAAGAAACCACTGCTGCGACGAGTCAGCCTGTTGGACTTGGTCAATTCTTCTCTGGATCCCTTTGCCGTCTTGGCCAGCAAGAACTCCTCTTTGGAGATTGATCTTGATCTGCACACAGCCAGTGACACGAAAGGACTACCTCGAAGCTCATCATTCAGCTATGGAGCAGACTCCAGGAAAGACCAGCGGGAGCTCCCTTTGCTCGTGTCCGTGGTGCATCGAACCAAACTTCCTGAACGTCTCGACTCCACGGGGGCGTTGACCAGGAGCGTGAGCGAGCGAATGTTGAGAGCTGCCAACGTGAAGGAGGTGGAAAGAAGCAGAAGCGATGCAAACCTGGAGTCCGAAGTAGGGGAGCGAGCGCGAGCATCACTGATAGAAAGGAACATGAAACGAATCGAATCAGGGGAGCTGACGTACAAGGAAGTAGCTGCTGCTGCGGCGGAAGCTCGAAAGGTGACTGAAGTATCTGAGCGACTGACGGGCACGCGGGACAACAATGCAAGCGGCAAGGTCAAGGCTAAGCCTCGCAAGATGATCGAGCAGGAACTTGATGAGAAGATCAGCAGCTGGCGATGCAATGAGGACGAGCTGCAAGCTCGTGTATCGAAGCACAGAGAGCACCTCAAGTCGGGTAAGGCCCCGATGAAGCTCTTCATGTCGACTCGGAGCTTCAAACCAGACAATCTCGAAGCTATTCGTGCTATTCGAAGTCAAAAGTACAAGGAGCGAAGAGATCTCGTAATGAAGTCACACAGGGAAAATTTGCAGAAGTCAAGCGACGACGCACTCGCTGTATTGCAGATTAAAGAGCAAAAACGAGTGGAGTATCGAAGAGAAGCTGAACTTGCCAAGAAACAGCAGAAGGAAGAGATGATAGCAAAGTTGCTGCTGCCTGCGATGATAGCTGTGAATCAACTTTGCCATCTGCGGCAAGTTTTCCATCTGAGAAGAACCATCCAAGCGATGCAAGAAGCAGCCGAGAGGCTTCAACGATTCGTCAAATGGAAATTCTGGTACTTCAGGTTCAAGAACAATTGCTTTCTCAAGAAAATGTTTCGAAAATACATGTGGAGAGCTCTGATGGCGCACAGAATACGAAAGAAGAGGAGATCAGTTGCACTTGTCGTGGAGTTCGTGAAGGACTCTCTGCGTTATTCGGCATTCGCTCAAGTGCTGAAGGTGTACAAGTACAAGGTCTTGCTCATCCAGCGGCAGCTTCGGCGTATGATGGCTTTAAGAGCTGCTCACCTCCGCCTGGCGCAGAAGCAGTACGACGACGTAGTGCAGCAGCAGCGAGAGCGCGAGTTGAACGACCCTCTCAATGTCAAGGGTCTCTTAGCAAGGTCCAAGGCTGCTTCCAGCAGAAATCTACTCGCTGCCCCCTCGTCTCCGCGCGTCGCCAAGCCTGGCACCCTCAGCTGGAACTCGATAAACTTCAAGCATATGCCCAACTCGTCTGAGAGCTTCGTGCTGGTCGAGCTCGAGATGCTTCTTACCAGAAGGAGGAGGGCCTTTGCGGAGGAGCTACACAGATGGCGGCAGGAGAAGAAGGAGTGGCTGAGAGACAAGAAGCAGATGTATGATATCGAGGAGCAGGCAAAGAATCTCTTGTCTCAGATCACCAAGGACCCGTCCAGGCTTCTCGCCCTCCCCAAGAGAAGCGCCAAGAATCCTGCCGCCCTCTGGCTACTCGGCTTTGATGAGAGCTACACTTGGCAGAACTTCCTCGAGGAGACGCCCCAAGGCAGAGAGAGAAACCCCCGGTACCGCCAGTCGGGACCCCCTCGTCCCCTGTATGATGTCAACCTCGATTTAACGCTGGAGCTCTTCCCGCTCTTTCTCCGGATATTTCGTCGTGCTCGACATGCGGAAGAGCAAATGTCCGTTGCTGCTGGAAGAGGAGGAGGATGATTAAGAACCAGCTGACTTGTGCTGTGAAAATGACTGGATATCATGAAAGTCATTGTATGCATTTCATCGAGTAAATAAATTTGTCTACTGTAGTTTAACACCACGACGGGTTAAAGATAAGACTTGAGCCTTGGCTGGATCAGCAGAACGGCGAGCAGTCCAACGACGACTTGCCGTTCACCACTCGTCCTCCCATTCTGTAGATGGCCAACGTCAGCAAAGGACGGAATCACTTGGCAACTCAACTCACTTGTTCGCCTTCATATCGGCCATGGCCAATTGAGTGTCGCTCACTTCGCCTGTGTGGAGCTTGCGATCGACTACGATTCCTGAAATGCAGTGAGCGAAGACAGGGCTCATCGCATGCCTCACTGTTCATGATCTCCTTCAACGGCATCACTTGAGCCGCGTTGTCCTTCATCATGAGCTCAACAGGCTCCTGAAGTAAAATCTGCTTGTTCGCCGTCGAGAAGTGATCTGAACATCCGCCAAACCTGTCAGCGAGATGCGCCTGCCACTCCAACTTGTACCTGAGTCCCGAGGCCAGCGCACCCAAGGCACCATGGTCTTTGTCTTAAGCATCAAGTCCTTATCCTGCCTGGTCAACATCCTCGTCTTCTCTTCTTCCCTTCGTTCCTTCTTCTCCTCCTTCTTCCTCTAAAAAGATTAAAGGCTTAGCGTTGGCGCCACCAGTTAGATTGTCACCTTCTCGTCCTGAAGAGCAGCTTTGCGGAAGCTTTCCTCCCCACCATTGACGGGTCTCTCCCGATCTTTCATCGCACTCTGCCCATCTCGAAGGATGCGTGCGAGATCGTTGCGATCGTCGTGATCTTGTGCGAGGCTTCTGAGTTTCCTAGGGACAGACCAGTCCAGCGCCTGACGGGACTGCGAGAGCGACTGCGAGGAAGAGTCGCTGCTGCCTCCTTGCATTGCGACCAAGTACACAGCAAGGATGAGTACACATGAGAGAGACACAGCAGATGCCGCTGCTCTCCCCCACCGCGCCCCCTCGCTCCTCGATCCCTCCCTCCTCGCATACACCTCGAACTGCATTCCCCTGACCTATTTCCGTATCAAACCGTTACGCTTCATAACGGATTACCTAAGGCCGGGCCGTGAAGGCCGGAGGCCCAAAAGTAAAAAAACTTCCAACAAAAGAAAAAAATTGATTTTACAAGATCTTGTTTTTTCTTTCTTTCTTTCTTTCTTTCTCTTTTTTTGCTTTTGAGGGGCTCCCAGCTTGCAACCGTTGTAACGTGTCCTACGTACTTACTACCCCACCCCCCATATTGATCCCGGTTTATCGCAATATCCCCTCCTCCTGTTCCTGAGCCCCATGAATTCCCTTCTGTGTGTTATGAAATGAACCGGTACTTTCACCAGATCCACCCCTACAATTGATCATGATGGTACCCCTACCACCTAATTGGCCCCTGCCAAGAAGCGTCTGGATCCCCCATGTTGGCAGTCAGCCACATCGAAGAGAGCGGAGGAGCATGAGAGAGGGAGAGGGAGGGAGAGAGGGAGGGGAAGGAGAGGGATGATGGAACAGATGGACTGCCTTTGCGGCTTCTGATCTCGTATATGTTAGATGAGCGGACATCTATCAGAGCATGCATACGGCAAAATCAAGATCCGTGTTATGAAACTGAACCGACAATCGTAAGTGAGCTCGTGCTCTCTTACTTGATTGACCTCTGTCTGTCTGGCAGGAGTGGACGGCATGAAATCCACGAGCTCACGGTGAGGGGATCATGGCGAGGAAAGGCTGAGTGAGGGGTGAAATGAGGTCAGGTCAACACTTTGCTGTGGGGCGACTTTGCAGATTCGTGGACCACCGGAAGCAACACCAAGATCGTTGCCACAGAGACGCAGAAGAACACTGTCTACCAACTCGCTCGGGTACTTCCCTCCTCTTCTCACGTGCAACCCTCCTGATCCTGGTTGATCCAGAGCCATGACCTGTCCAGCCCGGAGGAATTCGGCAAAGTGATTGCCTCTCACTTCCTCAGCACGTAGCTAGATTCTTCCTCCCTCTGCTCGATCTCCTGACGTCCACGCCAGTTATCACTGGATCACCAAAGTGCAAGTCACGCTCTTCGAGGACCCCTGGGGCCGCATTCATGTCAGCTCCTTCACACGCTCCTCCGCCTTCTCCTTTCTCTGAAATTCCTCTTCCTCCTCGCTCAGTCCCTCGTCCTCTCAACGTCTTCCCTCAACCGCCTTCCCTGCTCCCTACCGAGGTGCCTCACCCCTTGCTCATTCTCGTCACTGCAGATTGACCAGGAGCCTCACAACCACGCCTTCACCAAGACGACGACTGAGAGGAGATACGCTAAGGTGCTGGCATGACCATGCTGTGAGGGGATGGGGCTCACGGGATCGTCAGGTCGTGCAATCTCGAGGAGCCCCAGCTAAGATCACCGGTGAGACACTGAGAGAGGAAGGAGGAGGAGGAGAGAGGAAGGAGGAGGAGGAGAGAGGAAGGAGGAGGAGGAGAGAGGAAGAAGGGGAGAGGTCCGTACGTGAGCGAACAGAGCAACAAGGATGCGAGGCCTGGGTGTGAGTGAACGGATGAGCAGGAGGAATCCTCAACTTCATCGTGCTCAAGTCGACTCAATCCTCGTGAGCGACAGAGTCAAGAAAGACTGCGCTGACGTTGCTTCAGCTTCACCGGCTTCGTCGGCCACAAAGGCTCCATCATGGAGAAGGACAAGTGGACGACCCTCGGCGAATCGACTGATCGCATCTTCAGTACCTCCGTAGAGGTGAGCAAGACGAGAGGTCGGGAGGCGCCGAGGAGACGCCAAGAGTGGTGGGAGGGAGGAAGGCGGAGGACTGACGTGAGGTTTCAGTCGGAGTGGGAGTATGCGAGCGACAAAGCTCCTTTCAACGAGTGCTACGAGCGTGTCAAGACAGCTTTCATCAAGAACTTTGCGGGTGAGTCCAGCTGGTTCATCACCGGGCCATGACCTTGTCATGGTTGCAGGTCCTGCTAAGGAAGGCGTCCCTTCTCCCTCCGCCCAGTTGACCCAACACCAGATGTGTCTGGGGGCCATCGAAGCGTGCAAGCCGCATATCACTGTCTCCTTCTCCTCCTCCTCCTTCTTGTCTGACGTGCGCACAGGACATTAAGATCATCACGCCCAACCTGCACTACATGCCCCTGTCCTCCCTCAACGTCCCTGCTCACATGCACGCCACGAACAATGACGTGAGGCAGACCTGCTTGCTCTCAACGTCTCACACCTCCGCAGGTCTTCTTCCCCATCGACGGGCCGTCGGGTTACATCACCAGCAGCGCGTCGCTGAACCGCTCGAAGCTGTAGGAGGCGTCAAGTTGCTCGCAAGAGAGCAGAGGGAGCGAGAGGAGAGCAGATTGAGCAGTAGCACTGTCATCAATTAACGTTTCGATCATTACATGCGAGCTATCAACACCCAAGTTGTCGGGCTTTCAATCCGAAGGAGGAGAGGGAAGGGGAATGAGAAGGGGGACGGAAAGGAAGGAGAGGACACGATGCTTGGTCTCCTTGTCTCTCTCGTTTATCCTGCCGTCGCGTCAGGCTCGCAACTTTCATCTCCTCGTTGACCTAGACGAGTGTCGGTTCTCTCGCACTTGGCCAGCAGATCCTCGATCGCCTTCTCGAATCTGCTGGGCATTGAGAAGGCAGGCGGTGGGAGGAAGTGGAAAAGATGGGAAGGAGGAGGGAGGGAGGGAGGGAGGGAGGGAGAGGGTATTGAGGTGGAAGAGAAGGGGGAGGGAGGGAGGGAGATCTCACGGTCTTCCAGGGAACCCCAGCATGCCTGAGACCCGCCAGCCTTCCTCCACCTCCTCCAGCACTTGTCGAGCTGCACACTGACGTCATCAAAGGACGCGAGCTCACCACACGTCACCTTCATCAAACTTGCCGTCCGCAACCAATTGTTCTGCTACAAGGAAGCCCTGCCACGCCATGAGCACATCCTCCTCCTCCTCCTCCTCCTCCTCCTCCTCCTCCTCCTCCACCTGGTCTGCTCGCTCCTTCGCTCCAGCCTTAAGTGCCACCTGCTCGTCCGCTCCTCGCTCACTCTCTGAGCTCCAATGGTCAAGCTTGCTTCATCCTCTCGCTCTCCGCCCTCACCGGCCTCCTCGTGGATCTTTTGCTTGCGTGCCACCTTCATCACATGTCGCTCGATCCACGAGGCCTCACTCCTCTCCGATCGCTAGCAGGACAGAAATTTACATTCTCCCTCCCTCCTGTCGCTCTCCTCCTTCTCTCAAACGCTCTTCCTGTGCCTCCCCATCCCTTCCTTCGCTCCGGTCTCTCGTTCGGCTTACCTGCTCAGCGCCTAACTTCCACTCGGCAAAGAGAACTTGAATTTTCGTCTCTCTCAAAGCGCTTCTTGACTGCGGTCTATCAACCCGTCAGGTGCTGCTGGGCCGTTGAGACTGTGAGACACATTTCAAGCAACCCCGCGGCCTCGTACGCCTCCTCTGCTTCTTCTGCGTATTTCTTCGCCTGCAACCCTCCAGCATTAGTTTCTCTTTGCCCTCCGTTTCTCCTTCCTCTTCTATCGTCGCTGCTCGATCGCTCGACGGGATGGCTTTGCTTGCTGCAAGCAGCTGGAGCGAGTGTGAGAAAGGAAGCCTCCTCCTCCTCCTCCTCCTCCTCCTCCTCCTCCCACCTCCTTGCAGCGCTGCGTGATGTTGCCAGCTAGATGAGCCCCGAGCGACGTCACCTTGTCAGGTCTGCCGTCGCTGTGAGCTGGACGAGCGAGCATGCGACAGACTCTCACTGCTCCATGGCGCTTCTCGCCTCCTCCAGCATCGCCGTGTAGGGTGACTCGTCTCTCCTCAGCTGCAACTCCATGAGCGACGACAAGGTGCTCAAGGTATCGCACCACATCCGCCTCCCTCCAGACGTTCTCTGCGTGCGTTAGCGCAGCTTCAGCCTTGGCCATCTCGCCGCTCTCAATGAGCCTGACAGCCTGTGAGGAGCAAGATGAGTTCCTGTCCCAGCTCGCATGTTCGTTTCCTCGAAAAAGTTGGTGAGCAATTTCGCTGTCGGAGCTTCTGCACCTTTCGTCATGCCGCACTTCCTCGTCTGTCCCTCACCTCGCCGGTTCCTGCTGGTCATGCACGAGCTCGGTCGGAGCTGCTTGGCGCAGAAGCATCTCCCGAGAGCAAGTCGCCCCACCTGTCGTGTTGAATGGTCAGACAAGGAACCATGTTCTGATGGGCGACACGTGACTGTATGATGCTCCAGACGAGACCTCCTCACGTGGTGTTGAAGAAGATGGTCTTAGCAAGGGAGACGGCATCTCGGGGATGGAGAAGAGGGGGAGGAGAAGAGGCAGAGGAAGGGGCGGAGGAAGGGGAGGGGGAGGGGAGGAGTGAGAGAGGAGGAGGAGGAGGAGGAGGAGGAGGAGGAGGAGGAGGAGGAGGAGGAGGAGGAGGAGGAGAGGTCAGGATATCATCCTCTACGTCATGATTCACCGTTGGTGAGCTGAAAGCTTCCACACTCATCGCGTACATGATCACCGACAGCACTGGAAGCAGCGCCATGCGTAAGAAATCCTTGCAGGACTCACAGGGGTGGGTATTTCATGGTACAAGGAGGGGTGGTCTCCGTGTACATGGGTGGGCATGAAAGGTTCCCAGGAGATCCCGACAAACTGCAGGAGCGACAAAACTCGAGGAGGAGGAGGAGGAGGAGGAGGAGGAGGAGGAGGAGGAGGAGGAGGAGGAGGAGGAGGAGAAGGGAGAAGGGAGAAGGGAGAAGGAGGAGCGTGGGGGAGCAGAGCAGAACAGAGTAGAGACAAGGAGGGAGCTTGCCATGGTTTCTGTACTACAAATTTTACAGGGGGGACGCATTTACATTCGCTGCAAAAGGAAGTGGAGGGAGGAGGTAGTGAAGGACGCGATCATCAGATGCTCGTGGTCGCCGTCTTTCTCAGACGGCAACACCAGTCGTGCAGTATCCGAGCCCAGCACAAAGCACGCCAGGAGGAGGAGGGTGTAGAAGAGCGTCAGGACAGCCTCCATGAGGTGGGCCCTGCAGTACATCAGCAGGCGGTCGATAGCTGAGGTGCCTCTCACCGCTGCCTCCTCGACGGACTCTGAGCTGGAAGACAAACTGAACCACAAGCTCAACATCTGGTCTTTGAGCTTCACTCGATACCTGAATGTGTATGCGGGAAGCGGAGGAGGTAGACGTAGACGAGGCTTGCTTGGACGTCCTGTGGGAACAACTCATTCCGTATCATCCCAACTCTGTCTTCCTTTCCTCTCTCCTCTCTCCTCACCTCGCTCTGCTCTTGAGACTTGGGTGGCGATTCACCACAGCAGCTTTCGTTTCCTTCTGGCACAGAATGCAGGGCGTGCATGCGGCCGGTACCTCCTCAGACAAGTGAGCTCGTAGCATGCAAGTCAGCAGTACCGGTACCGCATCCTAACGCCTGATGGGACTTGAGCTGCTTCTTGAGATCTTTGAGCTGATCTTTCTGCAGCATCTCACATCATTCAGTGCCTCGAGTTTCATCCGTGTGGTACCGCAGCTGACAACTTGCTTCTTAGAATGCTCTCCCTCTCGTCCGCCTTGCCTAGTCTCTCGGCAAGCTCTAGCACTCGTGAAGAGTTCTATCAAGATTGCAAGTCACCTCAAGCGCCTTCTCCTCTCTCTCACCTTCTTCCGCTTCAAGTTGGCTTCCACCAGCTCTCCTTTCAAATGCTGCACTTCTCTTTGGAGCTGCTCGACCGTGACCTCCCTCGTCTCTGTCGCTTCGCTCTTGTTCGTCTCTGTCGCTTCGCTCTTGTTCGTCTCTGTCGCTTCGCTCTTGTTCGTCTCTGTCGCTTCGCTCTTATTCGTCTCTGTTGCTTCGCTCTTGTTCGTCTCTGTCGCTTCGCTCTTATTCGTCTCTGTCGCTTCGCTCTTGTTCGTCTCTGTTGCTTCGCTCTTGCTTCTCTTCCTGATCTCTGTCTGACCCTGCACGTTCAGGCGGCTCTCCCGCAGCTCGCAGAGAGGAGCGCGACCCGTCGCTTCCGGCATGGCAGTGGTAGGGAGACAGTCGGGGAGATCAGCAGGCAGGGGTAGTCTGCCTAGGTAGGGGTTTCATGAGGGGTAGTCAAACGAGCAATGCATAGGGGGTAGGGTGAAAGGGTCAGCCACTTCACAGGTGGGGTTATGGATAAAGGGGTGGCATACGACTGTATCGGACCGGTCATTCAGCATCGCAGAGAGTGACTCTGGTGGGGTACTATCACTTGCAGTAGCATTCGTTTAGCGACGGCACTGAGGGTGGGGTTATTTGTTGTCGTGGGAATGGAGAGGGTAGGGTTGTCGAGTCACGGGGTTGGTTTAGGGGTAGGGTGGTGGTGTAGTTGCTAACGGTGTATTGCATTTAAAAAAAATCGATGCCAGGCCCCGACAAATGATCTAAATCGAATGAATCCTTTTAATTCGGCGACAGAATCGCTTTGAACCACTTCAAGTAACGGCACCAGGTCAGATACAAGGTGAGAAGGAGGGGAGGGGAGGAGGCCAGGGAGAGGCGAGGAGAGGAAGGGATAGGATAGGAGAGGAGGGGACAGAAGAAGAGGAAAGGGAGAGGAGAAGGCGAGGAAGGAAGAGGAGAGGAGGAGGTGATCGGACGATGGGAGAAGCCTTGGGCCAGGCAGCGAGACTGTGAGACGCTCGTGGTGGAGGTAAGCGAGGGAGCCGTCGGCCATCACGTGCCTGGCGACAGAGACACCTGTTTCCTGGAGGGAATGCATTAGACTGATGGAGAAAGTGAAGGACGAATACTTCTTCTTCATCTGATTGCTCTGCATCTCCATCATCTCTTTCGAGTACCGAATGAAGGCCTGCGCCAACAATTGAGACAAGAGGAGGAAGGGAGGAAGGAGAGGAGAATAGGAGAGAAGAGAGCGAGGGGATTGAGGGGGGAGTGAAGAGGAGAGGGACGATGAGTGGCAGGGAGGACAGGAAAGGCAGAGGAGAGGATGGTGATGGCAGAGATTTGAGACGGGAAGCTTTGATACCTCGAGCTTCAAAGTTCTTCCAGCTGGATAGAATCTTGAGCACAGACGAGTAAGAGAAAACCGAATCAAAGTCAGTTTCTCTGATCTCACTCTTTCACGAACATCATGAATTGTTCCATCGTTAGCTTCCTCTCCGATGAACCTCCATGTGCAGCAGCGTGCTTGTCAACGATAGCTTGCATCATCTCGATGAGCTCCTGTGACACGTCACCACCACCACCACCACCACCACCACCACCACCTTCTCCTACTCCCCCTCCTCCTCCTCCTCCTCCTCCTCCTCCTCCTCCTCCTCCTCCTCCTACGTTCGGTTTGAAGAGTCCATTGGAGGCGAAGTGTTTCTCCATCACCTCGAGGAACATCAGAGTACAGATCCGGGCAGCTTGACGGAGCGGCAGACCTCGAAGCTGACGCTTCCCGACCGCTCGCTGTCGAGAAGGTCGAAGAGCTCCTGGATCTCGTTGACATGTTTCTTCTTCAGTTGAGATTCAAGCGTCGGGAGTTTCCCTGCTACCTTGTCATCTTGCCCATCTGATCCGTCATTCCTGCCTGTCCCAATTTCTCGATCCTCCAACTCCCACCTCTTCTTCCTCTTTCTCATCTCTCCCTCCTCTTCTTCCTCTTCCTCACCAGCTTCTTCTCTCTCTTTGATCCTCATAGCTGTCGCCGGAGGCTGCAAGGAGGTCACTCGCACATCACACAAGCGTTCGCTTACAAGCTCGTGGGTCTTGTAGAGATGAGCGAGGTGAGGGTACAGAACCTTCACGAGCTGACAAGAAGGTGAACATGGTGAACAAAGGCTCGTGCTGGTGCTGGTGCTGGTGCTGCTCACCTTGGGGAATGTAATCGGATTTGAAACACCAGCATTGTTACACTTGTGCAAGAATCCTTCAGCGACCTGTTTGCTCATGGCTGTAACGCGGTCACCCTCCTCCTCTCCTTGTCTTCTCCTCCCATGCCTGACTGCTGCACGAACGCCTGAACGCTTTTAGACATGGTCTGAGAGGAGCAAGTCACCTCGATGTCAATGCTGCCGGTCCCCATGGGATCAAGAGCCTGGAGGAGCGTTCAGCCCGCTCCTTCGCCCTCCTCCTTCACCTCAAAGGCCAAGCGCAAGTTCTCAACCTCGGAATGCGCACATTTCTTTCTTCCCTGGAGCTTCGCCTGCACATTTCGCCTGCTTCAGGATGAGCTGATTACGGAGGAGGCTGGAAGAAGGGTAGGGAGGAGGGAGGAGGAGGGAAGAAGCGGGAAGAGGAGGAGGAGGAGGAGGGAGGAGCAGGAGGAGCATTAGGAGGATCAGGAGGAGGATGCAGGAGGAGGAGCAGGAGGAAGAGGG